TATGTAAAGATTCATGAGTATTTTCCACCAGCCCAAATGTAAAACATAAATGTGGACTTATGGGGTTCAAACTCATGAATTTTTAGATTCACTGTACTCGATCATAGAGGTCGAAAGTTATTTCGTCTCTCAAAGAGAACTTGTATATGATAGATAAAGAATAGAAATTTAGCTTATCTTCATCAAATAGTGATTTTGGCATGCAAACAAGTTTTTTTAAAGCAAATATCCCTTAGGGGAGAAATAATATAGAACTACTCACTCATAATGAGTGATCTCATATCTACAAAATAAATCATGAACTATGGCTAATTGCTATAAAAAAAATCATGGCTAAAAGCTTTTTATTAAAGAAGAAATACTTACAAAAGACTGGCGATGACTGCTTGCAGAAAGAGAAACTAGATCACAACTCTTACAATACTATTTAAGCTCTCATATCATTCAACCATACCTTTCAGAGAGATGAGCTCTCTATTTATAATACAAAAACATATAACACAACTGCGGTATCATTACCGCCTACAAACTTTTAAATAAATATTTTACTACAGTACAAAAGGACTTCTGCAGTACAAAAAGACTTTACAGTAAAAAGTGAATAGTAACAATTTGTACTTGATTGAGACCTTTTGTCATACTTATCATTTAATAGATCCGATACCTAAATGTTTAATATCATCATTGTTTGGATAGGTTGCTTTCCATTTATCATGAATTTCTTTTCCTAATTCTCCTGGTAGTTTGATAAAAAATATATCTGATGTTTCTTGATCGAAGTATCTTCCAGCTCGACTTGCATAAGAAACATACAATTTATAGAAACTATTAATATTTGACCAATTATCAATACTTAATTGTTCTAAATTTCTATAAGCTTGATCTTGCATATTAGTATTCTGTCTACTTGGATCAAATCCTAATATTAATGTTCTAATAAATTTTGTATAATTGTATGGATTATCTCCCAATTGTCTCACTTTAAAGCTTTCTAGAGTTTTATGAATCTCTATGATGTGTTTTGTTCCATCCATATATATATATATATATATAAATTAATCGAGTAGCTTATCAAGCTTTCCAGTCGAGTCGGATTGAGCTCCAACTCGAGCTCGATAATTATACGAGCTCGATTGTAAGCTTGAGCTCGAAGTTCGATTAGCTCGGCTCGCGAGCTCGTTAACGAGTCGAGTTCAAGCCGGCTCACGAGTCGGCTCGGCTCACTTACACCCCTAGTCTGAAGTGGGGGAGAGGGTGTTCTTGAAGCTTCGACCGTACAGGCATAAGACAATCATGAAGAGGAATGAAAAGCTGGCGCCTAGGTACTTTGGATAGTATGAGGTATTTGAGAAAATAGAAGCAATAGCGTACCTTCTGAAATTACCACCAACGGTGATTATACATCCGGTTTTCCATGTATCCCAGCTGAGAAGAGCCATTGTAGATTATACAGCCAGACCAAAGTTACCGGTGACACTCACGGAGGATTTAGAGGTGATTCTAGAACCTTTAGAGTTGATGGGATTCGCTAGAAAGGAGACGGAGCTAAAGAAGTGCTAATCAAGTGGAAAAACCTGCCGGAATACGCTGCCACGTGGGAACCCTATGAGAGGGTGAAACATCAGTTTCCCAATTTTCACCTTAAGGACAAGGGCTTCTTTGGGAAGGGGGTATTGTTACGAATCAGCCCAGGAGGGGCCCGTTTGGACGTACAGGATTCAGGCTAAACCTCCTCCTCTTAAACCCACTGCTTAAGCGGGTGGGTCCCACCTCCTTGGGTGGCAATAAGAGAGAGAGGAGGGGGGCGGATTATGCATGAGGGCACTTTGAAATAAAATTATATTAGGAAGCTTTTTATTAGGGAGGATGGTATTTAAAGAGGATGAGAGGCTAGGGTTAGGGCATGCATAATTTGAGTTTTTCTTTTGTCCTTGGTGTCCTTGGCTCTAGATCTACAATCTAGAGATTTGGAGAGACGACCGTCCTCTCGAATTGAGGATCATTTGTATCTTGCTTTGAGTTTTGTTTTGCTTTAATTCCATTATCGCAATCTATCTTTTCTAGATTGATTTCTTTCAGATTTGTATTTTTCTCGCTGTTTTGGATCAATTATTACTAGGGTTGCTTGCCAACTCAAGTATTTCCTCTTGGATTACTTGCGAACTCAAGTATTTCCTATCGTGATACACCTCAAAGTAGGACTCCTTTCATTTCACGAATTTTTTTAGCATTTTGAAGGCATTTTATTGGATTCATAAAATTTCTTATTCTCTTGGTGTGTTTCCTTTTCCAACCTCTTTTATTAGATTGCTTGAAGCACCTTATATATTTTGGAAAACAAGCTTGATAACTTTTATTTTTTATTTGTAATTTTTCAGACTTTTATATTTTATTTTTTATGGATGCAAACGTATTACTGGAATGATTGCTTGTGTTCTGTAAATATCGCATATCGTAGAAAGCTTCTTTTTTTTTTTTTTTAAACAACTGTCGATTTTGATTGCTAATATGCATGTTGTAGTTATTTTCCTCTATGTATCCTGAGGTGGAGTTTCTTCCTAAAACCAAAGTTCCTGAGAACGTTGATGAGGATGATTCGTTTTCGTAGTAATGAAGTGAAGGGCCATGAGCATTCACACTTTTCAACATAAGAACGTGAGACACGCTGATTTTGAGATAATGCTCTTAATTGTTTGACAAGTTGTTGCTGCCTTGTGCCTGAGCAAAATTTTCTTTCTTCCAATGATATTTCTGCTCTTGCACTTGGTGGCTTTAAATGTTGGTCTGAACTCCAGAAAGTCCGTCATTACCATGCATTATTATGTGTGATCGTCAGGTATTCCTTCTCAAGTACAAAGTGTTGTTCATAAGTGCAGACTTATATATATTATTTGTGCTTTAGCTTTTTAACACGGAACTTGATTGAAACCTTTAGCTCGATCTTGTCTTGATTATTTTTATAAATTTTATTCTCTGATTAACCAAATAAACATATCTGAACTGTAATTAGTTTTTTTTTTTTACTGATTTGTATCTTTCCTATTTGTATAATTTTTAATCCAACATGCCCAGTGTCAAAACTTGACCCTTCGGTGAGTATCATAGCAATTTATTATGATTTAGCCCATGGCGTATGGGGTTTAATGTTCGCTTTTAACTTTATTGTTGATGTCGATGATGATGATCTCAACCCTTCTAAATGCTGAATTCTTTTCGCATGATCTCAAAATTTTCTGAACAACTTGACGTAATAATACATTAGCTGTAGTGCTGGTAATTATGTTTAAGATTTGAAACTTAAATTGAAATCCTGCTAAAATGTGGGGTATCTATTATTTTGATATCATGACTTAATTGCATATAATTAAAAAATATATATCATCAGCATGGCTTTATTATATGAAGCTTATATTAGGTTTGAAGGTTTGAAGAAGATAACAGATTTATATCAAAAACTATGATTGCTAAGTTGAGAATAATTTTATATTTTAATCTGTCAAAAAAGTTAAGTTTGGAGGTAGGACATGTTCTTTTATTTATTAATAAAAAATGTTTTTTAGAGTGGACAAACTGAGAAAAATATTTCTGTATTATAATTGAGTTGTAGATTGGTTGCTTTTAGCATTTTTCCTTATTGACATGTTAGTATCTTCGCTAATCAGTTCTCAGTTAATTTGTATGCATCCCAGGCTCTTTACCATCCTAAGCTTCAAATTATACTAGTTCTTCAGAAAGTGTCAACTTTATCTTTTCATAGATTCAAGCTATGCCATTGCATTTTTCCAACTTTTCTGCCGGCCCTCAATATTTTATGCCTGTGAATGCGAACATAGATAGTAAGGAGTTACATTTCATAGATTAAGCTATTTCATTGCATGTATTAGTCTTTTCTCCTTAGCATCCTTAACATTATAATGTAACTCCTTACTGGCTAATATACTTTATGTTTTAACTCCAAGGGTAAGTGGCAATTTTTTTCAAAGATTAGCCTATAGGGAGACATTTCAAATGGGGTTTTGAATGTAGTCTTGTAATCCCAAAGTACATTATCGAATATCGATGCCCAATTCTTCATATTTGGACTCATAGTGTATTTCAGAATTATCTTGATCTCCCTATTACTTATGTCAGCTTAACAAAATTGTCTTTTTGGCTAATGATTTTAATGTTTTAACTCCCTATTAAATTTTTTTCTAGTGCTGGGCGAAGAGAGAGAAGCTCCAAGATTCTAGAGAGAGAAAGCTTTTCAAACTTGTCTTTTTTCCGATTTGGCGGGCCCTTCTGGGATGCCGGCGGGTGGCCCGGCTGCGGTCGCCGACGGCGAAGCTACTGATGGCTTCGGTTCTGTGAATGTGATGATGTCTGGTCGTCCTGCTAAGAATGGGAATCTGGTGATCCGGACCTTCTGTTCCAAAGGCGATCTCCCCTGTTCTTGTTCAGGGTAAAGGAAAGGAAATTTTGGATTCAAGGGTGGATTCAGGTTCACCCATTTCTGGTCTTAAAATTAAATCTACTGATGGTGAAATGTCTTCATCTTCTGGTATGAAGATTTTTGTCAATCATTTTGGCAATTCGTTAAAAGGAAACGACAGTTCTTCAGACCTCCCTTCAATTCTAAATTCTAAAGATTGCTCCTCAACTGTTCGTGAAAATGTCAGTAATGCGCCTTTATTGGCTAATGATTTTAATGTTTTAGATAACGGAAGAGAGATGGTGGGATCAAATCCGTGGTTAAAGCAAACTCACCTTAAGATTGACTCTAAGACAGTAGCAAATTGCTTAGCAGAGGATGGCAGGGCAGTGAAATTGTTTGAACCAAACGTGAAGGCCAATTATGATCGTCTTCATCTATCTATAGTGGTGAAGGTATTTGGAGCTGATATCTCTATTCCAATGATGACATGGGAGTTAAGGCGTCAATGGAACCATTTTGGTAAATTTCACTTGACATCTCTTGGAGTAGGATGGATGTTGTGCTCATTTGATGAAAAAGTGACTATGGAGAATGTTATTATGGGTGGACCTTGGTTTGTTAGAGGGCATATAATTGGAATGGATAGATGGAGTTCGGAATTCTCTCCATCTTCACTGAAAGGTTTAAGCTCTCCAGTTTGGGTTAGATTTCCTAACCTCCCTCTTTTTTGTTGGGATGA